CACAGAGAACTCTGGAATTCCGAAGGCCCAACCCCTGTCTCTTAAAAAAAAAAAAAAAAAAAAAACGCTGGAGAGCAGTTAATACCAGCCTGGTGCTCGTGTAGAAAGATTCGACCCCAATACAAGCCAGTATCAACCAACATCAACAGGACTACCAACAATGGGCACATTGAGGAAGGAAGCACGGTTACACTGATTTCACATGTTCATACCAACTTTGTGTCTACGACTCAAATGTGCTTTACAGGGACACTGGACCCGATTTCCAGCAGGTGATGCTCCCCACCAATAGATGGAGCCATCCCGGAGCTGCTAGTGTTGTCTGATTATATCAGTAGCCCTAGCAGTCGCCTGGGCTGTTTGTGTAAAAAAAAAAAAAAAAAGACTTCCGTCGTGAGTTCTTTAAGAAGTCCTTGCCAAAAACCCTAAAGTTAATGCGGTAAGCCCTAGCTACGTGAACCTACACATTTTCTTGAGGCCGACGCTTCTACAGCGCACGCCCAGTTCACCCCTATTCAGCTAATAATCACCCCACATTCTCATCCCTTCCTCTTACCTTGCTGAACTTTGATGTCCTAACTTTTCCGTTTGCCTTGGTGTTCTTACCTTGCCGAACGCCCAGTTTACCCCCCACTTCAGCTTACGCCCAGTTCAACCCTATTCAGCTAATAATCACCCCACTTCTCCTACCTTCCTCTTACCTTGCGGAAATTTCTCTGACCATAAAGACTTGCACGAAGAGCCAGTTATGGCCAACCCCGCCTTCGTGTTCCATAACAAAGCATGTTACCGCGGGCCAGGGCCGCAGTGATGACGAAGGCCGGTACCGTAATTCCCGCGGTGAGAATACATACTGGGTAGGCCCAAAGCAACAGTCGTTACCGGAGGCGGGGTAGAGCGCAAGTGCAAATACTAGCGCCTCCAGTGAAATGCCCGTAATATCACTGGCAGGCCTCAAGGTCATGGGGTGTTTATAGTCCATGCTCAAGTTAGAACTCGGCATGTGGGTCTTGGGCTTGGCCAGCTGGCGTACCTACCGGATAGCAGGCAGAGGGTAGCAGTAATGATTTCCTTCCGCGCTTCCTGGATCTAAAGGTGGATGGTTAAAACGTGAAGTTCATGGTCCTGTGACGAACCACTTTCTGTAACGCGCGATTTTCTGCGCAGTTGCAATGAGGGGTCCAAAGCTGGGAAGATTGGGCCAATTACGGGAGATCAGGATCGGTGGAGAATTGCATCAGTGTCCTCGCTTTTTCGTCCTTTTTCGTCGTTTCTTTTTCGAATGGCCGGGCATTGGGTCGGGTGTGTCTTGGGACGGCCGGTGGATTGATTGGTCGGATGGATGTTTGGCGCGGCGCCACGCGCGCGCGCGATTAAATGTTGACGTCGTTTCTTTTGGTTCGGTTTCGATCTTTTGGGCGCGGACATCGCGCGGGAAATTGCTTCGTTCTTTTTTTTGATTTTTTTTTCGAATTTTGTCGAG